ATTTATAAGTTAATATAAAGACAACAGTTTGGAGCGGACTGAACCAAAAGAAATGTGTCAGATTCAGGAGAAACATCACAGAAAGTACAATTAATAACTTTATCACATTTAAACGTTTTAAGTAAACTTTTACAGAGTAAATGTATGAATTAGTTTAAATGACACTTTTTAAACTTTACTGGTAAGAAGGAAAACATTTGGTCAAAGTTAAACAGGAAACATCAGAGGAAACCTCCCTCTGAAAAAGGGACTTAACTTAACAGGCAGATTATTGTACTTTGTATTATTTTGTGTGTTCTTTGTTGTTTAATAAAAATAATAACAGGCACATTTTGAACTTAAGAGTTTTCTCCAGGAGGAATAACGATTTTAAACTTTGACAAAAACTCATCATAGTTCAGTAAAAACATCATTGTTAAATAATTGATCTACTAGAATAATGTTATGATTAAAAATAATTGAGATTTCTGCTTAAATTACTTACGACTTCACAGCTGTTTAAATCGTCGTCGACTGATGACGTCACGGCTTCCAGAAGGGGCGTCCCATTTGGTAGCGRGATGTTTTTAACCCTCCTAACTTCAAATCAAAATCAAGATGAGATCAAACCTGTGAGGTTGTGTTAGATAAATAAATTTAAAGTGTTCATTTCATGTTTTAGAGAATAAATGTTTAGAGTGGATCAAACACTTGGCCCTCCCCCTACAGCCTGAACAATGGGACACCCCTCCTCCTCATCTCCTCACGAGCCAAACGGAACAAAATGGCTTCTCATGTAAACAAGGACTTCCATAAATGTAAGTATTCCCGCGCTTCAGACACATTCACGGGTTTATAAAAACATTGGAGCTAAAGCAAACTGCAGCTGTAGATTCACCAGCCTTCTGTTAGCAAAATATCTCCAAWATAAACAGCTGTYTGAAGGCTGCCCGTGGCAAGATGGCCGCCACAGCCAGCTGATGTCAGCCATGACTTTAACTGAAGAGAATCAGCTAAACTTCAGTGGTAGTAGCTGAGAGTCATCCTCAGACCAGAACCATCTGGATCCAACTGGACCTCCAGGGTCCAGGTTCTGATAGGTCTGCTCCTCACCTGGGATCAAAACAAACATTTAATCACAACAACAACAACAACAACAACAATCATCAGACTTAATTACAACTAATTAAATTATTACAATAAAAACTCCAATAAACCTAAAATAAAAATAAATCCCTGATCCTTTCACAGGTTTGATTTATTAATATTTATTGCTCATTGTTTTAAAAACAAATTTGACTCAAACTTTAAAAAACTTAGAAGGAAAACAGCAGTTATTTAGCTAATCTGTAATTTAAAGCAAAAGTTGTAAAAGTTAAGCTGTCATCAGACACCATCAAAATAAAAACTGGAAATAAAAAACAACACATTACCTGTCAGCAAAATATCTACTGAACCAGTGCCCTGTTCAAGATGGCCACCGCAAAATCAACAGGTTGAACTCTGAAACTCTTGTTTTTTAAAACAAGCAAAACACAAGATGAAAATGAGCTAAATGAAAGCTAAAAAGGAGAGAAATGCTAACTAAATGTAGCATGGCTAAATCAAACAAAATTCTAATACAAAAAACTAAAAACACAAAAACAGTTCAAACGGTAAAACAATAATGTTGAGCTGAAAACATCAAAACACGAGCTAAAAGTATCAAGATAGTAATAGAACACACTGTTTTTGTTAGCTAAAACTAGCAATGTGACAAATGCTGAAATTA